TGTTTCTTTTTTAGGCCAAGTGTTTATCGTATGGAAGTTTAAATAATATCTACCTATATATATGCTTCTCCTTCTGTCTATATTCTGGTAATAATTATGAAGGTACTGTAACTACAGAAAGACTTTTCAGAAGCAGTTACTGCTTTTAAGAGCATAATCCTCAGCGGGGTTTGTGTTCCTGAATATGACAGCTGCTTCACGGATTTTTCACCCAAATTCATGCTATTAGAAAGTTTTCCTGTACTTAACTATAACACTCACCATATAGCGGAGGGGGTGTGTGTAGAACGGAGTCTAATGTGCAGTTCACAAAATATAATGTGGGTCACACCTCAGTTTTCTCTCTCTGTCTTTCTCTCTCTTTCTTTCTCATCTGCAGGTAGTTTTGATATATTTTAGCCAAAAGTTAAGAGAAAAGTTTTCTGGAAAAATAGAAATTATATACTTGGCATGTGCAATAGTTTATTTTGCAAGTTTTAATTAATATTCTGCAGAAAACCCGAATTAAAGAATAAAATGTTAGAAAGGTCAAAGGTATGTGGAGATTCCTTTTGAATTGAGAGAATAAAAGGCCAGGAAGCTGAAAAATTGTGGAAGGTACACAGAAATACTGAGGAAGATAGAAGCATTACTAGAAGGCTAAGAGAGAGAGGTGAAACCACTGTAGAAAAAAAAAAAAAAACTTTTGAAAGCAATTTGTCCAGGCATTTCTGTAGCATAAATTTCTGAGTAAGCTTATTATTGCATTACATTTTTTAACGCATATTAAACTGTAGTTCTGGTTGGTTGGCTGCTTCATGTCATACATGTGGAGGAAACCTGTCATGCAGTTCTCTCAGAACTGGTACCTCTTTTATTTCATCTCTATTCACCAGTGGAACCACTTAGCTCTAACTCTTGTAGGAGATTTTACCATCTTTACAGGAACATTTTAACTGTGCAGTTGCAGACTGCTTTAGAAAGTCACATCTTATGCTAGGCACTGACTTAAGAAATGTGTCAGAACAACATACACTTCATATGTCTTCGCATTTTGGACTGCCTATTTTTCCACAAAAGTTCATGTAGAAGTAGACTGCTGTACAGAATGTCTGAAAGACACTAGACATTTTTTAATGGTCATATTACTTCTGAGTGCTAAGCTGTATGCCAGCACAATGCAAGGGTTAAGAGCAAGGTAAAATCACTTAACTGTTGTTTTGATATAATGAAGGAATATTGTTCTTACCTGAAAAATAATGGGAAATGTGGTTCCTTTTGTGAGGACTGTGCCTGTGGCAGAACTTAAAAGTATGCACGAAAATGCTGTTTCTGTGAACTGTGATGTCATTTGTAGCTCCTGAATCAGAATCTTAAATTTGGATAGGTAGATCTCTGTTGTAGAAGCCCCATCTTGTGGACAACCAATCAATGACTCCTTTAGCAAAATTAAGATTTGAAATACTTAGAAAACCTAAGGATATTCTGATAATCTTTAAAATAAACTAGAGTCTTCATATTGCTGGAAAATATGGAAACATCATTCATATGTAGAAATCAACATATGTTTTTTGAAGATTGTTTCCACACGTAGGAAATAGTGAACTACAGGGAGATGAGAAACAGGGACAGAAACAAGGGTACTGCCTCCAGAACTCTGTTTTAAGTCTGAATCTGTTAAAGCTCTGCAAACCCAAATCCTGCCTTGAATTCCCAGAATGGTTTTCTGTTACATTTGTATAATATAAAGGAGTATTTGGATGACAAAATCCTAGGTTATTCATATAAGAGCAGAAAAACATTCTTTGAGAAATTTGTTCAGACAGAAAGAACAACAAAGTATGCATGGAAACTGAATCTGGAAATTTTGGAAACATCCTTAAAGAGATACTTAGTTTCAGCAAAACATAATGGAAAAGCAAACGTATTTGCTAGGAAGAACGTTACGATACGTAAAAGAAATATGAAAACAAGCCTGTGATAAAAGCTCATCTCAAATTTCAGTATGACAGTAGTGGACGTTGCTTGTTTAGCATACATTTTGACACTTTGAAGGAAATAGGTTACTATATGATAGTTTTCCATTTTCTAATAATAAAGGTGATTGATAGTAAAATATCCAGAAAGTGTAGTGAAATCTAGGGAAAGTTTGGCAGAAATGCCAATTCTAATTCTAAAACATCTGTAACTCTTTTTTTTTTTTTTCACCTTGTAAGTTGACATCTTTCAGACTTATCCTCCAGGCAGAAAGAATTACTATTTTGAGTAACCTAACCTCTTAAGAAATAGACACAGTGGACATGATCTTTATTTGAAGGTTTTAGAAGCATCCCAGGAAGAGTTTTGAGTGGGAATAGTAGAAGAGAGCTGCTTTTCACTGAATTTACAAGTCAGATCTGTGTGAAATTTAAGCAGGAGGCAGCTATTGCGCTTAAGTCCAATCTGCTCTTTCAATCAAAGACATCCTACATGCTTAACTGAAAATGTAACACCTTTTTTCTGTGAATATAGCATATCCAGGGAAAGTGGTGAGAGTGGCTTGCTTGGAAGTAGTAAGAGTGAGGAGGAATTTGGCATGTGAATAGGGCATGATATCAACCCCTTTGTGTTGGGGGAGAACACAAGTCATCATTCCTACAGGTGGCTGTCTGATTAAAATAAAAAGACAGAGTTTTTGATCTGGACCAGTCTGGACATCACAAAGCTCAGAAATAATTCCCTAGTCCATATCAAGAGGAGTCTGGATAAAAGCTTCATTTTGGAGACACTTAAAAATTCCTTGTAAATGTACTGTCTGCCACTTCACAGTGTAGTTTAAAATAACTGTTTGTTTCCTACTGAGTCAAAACTAAAAGCTTAGATTGTCATCCTTTAGTAGTCTGAGAATTTCATAAACACAACTAGTTCATAACATAAACAGATCTAAATAAGTCACTGTTGTTAATAAATTAATGGATAAAACTATAAATGAACTTTACTGGCAGATTATAAAGAACTTCACAGAAATGCCTGCAATTTAAAAATATATTTGTTGATGTTTCGGAGTTCCCGAATGGCTCCTTTTGTTTCTATTGGAAAACTGAAGCCTTTCTTGAAATAGAATTTTGCATTTTGGGGGATAAGCATCTTTTAGGAGTTGTCTCACACAGGGCAGAAACTTCGAGAAAAATGCATATTCTCATCTTGGACCTCAGTCTGCTCCTTAAAGAAGGGAAAATTAAAAGACTTTAGGAATATATAGGACTAAAATTGTTATCTGGAAGCAAATTCTGCTGGAACCAGAGTGTGCTATAAAAGCCTTTCCACTTTCCAGAGCGTGGAATGAGGCTACTAAAGGAGTGTAAGGTCCCCCTTCCTCAAGGGGCTGAAAGGGCACAGCAGATGCTAGTTCACCCCTCAAGGGAAGAGTATATGAAGTAGGAACACCTACTTATAATTCCCTGCACTCAAAGGACGAAGCATGAACAGTTCAACAAGAGGCGCGCAGACAGATATTAGTATGCTATGAAATCTAGAGAAGCTGTGGCCCGGGAAAAGAAAATGAGTATGTAAAGTTGTAACAAGAGAGTTTTGGAAAACAAGAGTTTTGCAAAGAAACAATTTATTCAGGAAATCTCAGGAGGGAATAGTCATTGTTCAGAATCCCTATTCCAACAAGTGAAATCTCTACAGTTTACAGTAAGGATAACCTCTGATATAAAAGACAGATTGTTTTCCTTATTCTAGGGAGAAGGCTCTAGAAAAAGCCAAAATCTCCTGTACAGGATTTATTTGGTAGTGTTATAAATTTGATGTTTGAAGGACAGAGACAAGGCAAGATTGGAAAGTTCAGGTAGTATCTTTTATTAGGCCAGCTAATATGGTAGAGAAAGCAGATCAACTGTCAGGCATTTTAAATACCTAAAGAAGAGCTTGTGTGCCTGAAAACCTGTATCCTCCCCAAAAATTTTGGCTGGGATAAATTTGGCATGTTTAGCTAACTGAAGGCATACCAAGCAAGGAAAATAATATGTCAGGAGATATACTGCGTCATACAAAAGGTCTACCTATTCCAGTATCCTGTTGCCTTGGTAAAGGCCGATATCTAGGGAGGAGTGTAAGAATAGGGCAAGCATTCAGTGATACCTCTCTGTATTAGGATTGCAATAGAAATTGCAATTGTTTGTATATGCCTATGTAAGAAGGGAGGAAACTGAAAATGTGGCTGCATCCTGGGGCTGCAGGACACTGAAGAGCAAACTGTTGAAGAGCAAAATGTACAGCTAATATGTATGTAGTTGGTATGTTCAGTTGCAGTGTATCATAAACAGAGGGTTAACTGCTAAAAGTTGCAGAGTAATATGCATCTCTTGTTGCACTAACAGACCTTACGAAGAAAACAGATCAGGATTGTAAATAAGTGTAGATCTGCAGTAACTCCACTGGCAGAGGAGTTAGGTAGGTGTAGAAAATTACCATGCAAGGGAATGAAGAGCTGTGACTAGTGAATAAATTGTTACTATTTAAAGATGGGTATAATGATTCATAAAAAAACTAATGCACATAAAGGTTGTGTTAAGATAGTAAATCTTTGTCCTTATCTCTTTATTTTATTATGCACATTTTTGTAAATGTCTTCTTTGGTTGCCTCTAGCCTTTCTACTATTCTTAATCTTTGCACATTACATTTTTATTGCTATCAAAATTTGAAGAGATAATATTGATGTATCAAGTTATTTAACGTAAAAAAGACAAAGTTAGATTTTCAATGACATTATGGAAATTTAAGCCACCAGAAAAAAGGCTTGATGTGTTATGTTACTATAAAACTAAATATATGTACTTGAACTCTGAGCTTTTGTGTTCATAATATATGAAAGTGATCTATTATTTCTGTGTCTCAGTAATGATACTTCAGTTCCCACTTGGGTATGTCATTTTGGCATAGTGCTTTATTTTACATTTGGTTGTCAACAGTGTAGACTTTTGCACCTAGGATTGCCACTTCTGTTTGATGTTTGCTTGCTTCCTAAAAAAAGAAATTTACCAAATTATTAATTTGTTAGCGATACCTTTATTTATTAATTCATATCTTATTACCCTATTGAAAATTAAGACTAATAAAGTGCCTTTTTTCTTAAACTTCTTTCTGAGAAGTTTCAAAGTACCAGTCAAGACTTCTGAACAGACTTCTAGTTTGACAAGATTCCAAATCATGCATTTGTATGAAGTACTATATTTAAACTGTATCCCTTAACAGGGTGCCAATTTAAAGTACCAGCTCATTTATCAGACTTTTGTTATAGGGTAAGTAGGTGTCATATGTTGTAGATTTCTTTTTCAACATGTTAATGGGCAGAAATGGAGAAAAGGGAAGAGGGGAGGGTGAATTGTCTTTCCAAAGAAAGTATATACATGACATGGAAATAGCCCTAATCTAAAGGCTGCATGGACGTGTCACATGAGACAGAAGCATGTGCACGCTGACTGGTGCTACTGTGGGATGGAGTGAAAGGCCTGTTGTTCCTCCAGTAAATTTATACCTGTACATGGTAAGAAGTCTACCAGATAGCCTTAACAGGAGTATGGCTCACATGTGTTAAAAATTAACAAAAATACAGTGCAATCACAGATACTTTAGCTGACAAGTCTGTATTCTAATATCCCCAACATTCTGAAAAGTAAGGATTCTCTCCATGTTGCACTGCGATCTTGAACTTTAATTAAGTAAGGAAAATATCATTTAAAAATAACATTCCATACAGAGCTCCGGAGGACTGAGGAAAGGGACTATAATATGGCTCAATGCCATACAGTTAGATATTGAAAGGATTACCGTCCTTCAGGGAATACTGGAATTAATTAACCAGAAGACAAGAATGGATTTTAACTTAAAATTCTCAAGCAAAATATTTAAAATGAACAGTATCTTATGTATTCTCAAAAATGGTTATGTCTTCAAAATCCTAGGAAACTGGGTGGTTAATCACATCAGAGTACTTTACTTTTCCCTCTCTTCCTAAGCAAGAAAAATAACGGAAGTTAGGAAATTTACAGGAGAACCAAAATCTGACCACACATATGGCAGCTGGCTGATTTAGCCTCTTTAAAAGACATGCGCTTCTTAGCATAGACCCCAAAATTTTTGTTTCTTTATCCTGCTCCCGCTTTAATTTAGGCTCCCTATAGCCCACCAGTGCATTCTTCCTTTTAATCAAAAGTGAAAAAAGCTTTTGTTATACCTCTTTATAAACTTACCAGACGAAATCCTTCATACCAAAATTCATGTTTTATTAACAGGAGAGTGTTTTGTCTAATTTACTTCCGTAAGGACAGAGTGCTATAGAACCTATTAAAGGGCAATACTGATGTTATTATAATATTTTATCAGAATAGTAACTTTAAATACACGTTTTTTACTCATATTTTCATGTCCATGATATCAGTCTGCTATACTACTCTGCACCTGTACTGTCTCTACCTGTTTCCCTACCTCTCCCTGTCATCTTCTCCAGAGCTGTGGTGCTGCCACTTTGCAGTAATCCCTTGTACCAGCCACCACCATAGGATTCAGTTCCCCAGAGACAGATTCTGGTCCCTGGGCAGAAACAGATTTAGGGAATTAAGCAGAAAGACAGACCCCTAGCATCACCGAAGACAACCTAAAACTCTTCTGACCCGACTCCGAAAGGCTTAATGATACTACAGTTCCTTAGGCTAAAAAACTTTTTCCGATATTAGTATCATGAAATTTTTCAAATGATAACATCCTTTACTGTCAGAACTTTTAATTCTGGGTTTCTGTTTCAAATTTTCCCCAGTTCAGTCAGAACCAAAAGTTAATACCCATTGGCTAATTTCCAGTGCATGCCTCCACAGAACAACCGTTGCCTTTAACTGGTGGTGAGATCAAGGCTTGAATTGACAAAAGACATCTGTATCTTGGAAAACAAATTAATGTTTATGTTTTAATTTATAAGTTCCTGGCTCTTTTATAGTTCCTGTTTTTCAAGTAGTATCTCTTTGGATCCCTAGCTGATGGAGAGTCAAAATGGAAAAGGCTCATGAGAAAATTACCACAATACAACATCTGGTCTGCATTGGAAAAAGCTAATAAGGATATTCAACATCTCTGAGAGTAAGAGTCAGTTACGAGGCACTTTGCAAGATCAATCTAGGAAAAATGGTGCTGGTTGTGGCCACCTGGGCCAATCTAATGTTTTAGGAAGAGCTATCCTACTTCCTAGCATCTAAATTTTACTCTCACTTCAGCATGGGCATGTGAGAGCGGGGAGTAGTATGAAAGGTGTTTGCTTTTCTTAACATTAATCTGATTTACAGCACTGTCCTGAATATACTGGGGTTTTTGCCTGTCTCTCAGTTTTCTTTTGGACATGGTACGTGAAGAGTCGAGACGCCTTCCCAGGACTTTCTGACATAGTTTTATTGACCTTTTTAACAGGAATTGGAATGGAAAGGACCTTGATTCTGCATATTTTTAAAAGACTATTTCACATCCTGCTTTGAACTTTATTCCAGAAGGTTAAAAGTCATGAACTAGACTGCACATTGGCTGATGTATTTGTATGGCATTAACAGCAAGAAGTTTTGCTTTACCTATTTGTTCCTGTTTTCTGCAGCAAGAGACTCTAAAAAATGCAAAGAAATCATGGATCAACCCAAGCAGTAAGAGTACCACTGAATTAAGAGGGAAAAACTCTTTTGGCCACATGAAACTTCAGCCCTTTAAGTCATCATAGCTCATGCAGAACAGAAACAATTTGGCATGTATAATAACAAACAATGAGAATTGTTTGCCAAACAAAGATATATACTGCAGATGGAAGATCTGATGAAAATTGTTTATAGTTGAGGAACTAAATGTAGATTTTTCAAGAACAAGGTTGTTCTCTTTCTTGCCAAGACAAACAAATCCAATAGAACATCTCATTGCTTTAGGCTGCCTGCGGACCCACTGAAAAGTCTATGGACCTCTCTCTACAGAAAATTTGCATATTGTCAATGTATTGTCCACAGTTGCACTGTGGCAGCTGCAGAGGAAGTGGAAGGTTTGAAAGAATACATAAGGGAGAACTGAGTTTTTGGCTCCTGAAACAGTATGGAATGCTTTTTGAAACTGTAGAAGTTTATGATCTGGATAGTCCTGCTACAAGGGTTATCTGTGAGGTAGTTAAACATAACCGTAATCAATCTGCCATCTTCAGATTTTAGCACTAACAACATAATGAAATTGAGAATTCATATCTTTTAGGACTGCTGTTTTCCACGATTCCTACATTCCTGTGAAGAGACCCAGATTTACACTTTTACACATTTTCAATATTATTTTTATAAATACACAGTGAACAGATGTTTTTACAGGCACTATACATGAATCCTAAACAACTATTTGTAATAGGCCATTTGTTTGGGAAAAACATGTAACGAGCATACATGCCATCCCTGACACTGACATGAAATATGTATTAGCAGGATAATATGGCTTATACTTCCCTGGAAGTATAACACTAATCATGTCCTTAAAATTGTGCTGTATCTGCAAGTATGTATATTGGAGAAGAAGGCCAACAGCCTCTTGGGTTGCATTAGGAAGAACGTTGCCAGCAGGTCGAGGGAGGTGATTATTCCCAGCACTGGTGAGACCACAGCTGGAGCGCTGTGTCTGGTTTTGGCCTCCCCAGTGCAAGGAAGACATGGACATACTGAAGCAAGTCCAGTGAAGGGCCACTAAGAAGTTAAAGGGACTGGAGCATCTCTCATAGAAGGAGAAGCTGGGAGAGCTGGGACTGATTAGCCTGGAGAAGGAGGTTTAGGAGGGATCTTAGCAATGTGTAAAAATACCTGATGGGAGGGTGGAAAGAAGATGGAGCCAAACTCTTCTCAGTGGTGCACAATGACAGGATGAGAGACAAGGGGCACGAACTGAAATACAGGAGATTCCGTTTAAACATAACAAACAAAAAGGTGTGGGTGACTGAACACTGGAACGGGTTGTCCAGTGAGGCTGTGCAGTCTGCATGTTTGCAGACATTCAAAACCAAACTAGACACGGTCCTGAGCAATCTGCTTTGAACAAGAAGGGGCTGGACTAGACAATCTCCAGAGGGCCCTTCAAGCCTCAGTGATTCTGTGAGTCTGTGAATAGTTGAAGTAGTTTGCTAATGTCTTGTCAATATGTTAACTGGAACCTGATTGCATAGGACTTCTAAAGAAAGCACAAGCTGTAACTCCAGAAATAAGGCTTAACTGCTGATGCCCCAAAAAGGCATAACGGGAGCCACTAAGTACTTTGAATGTCTCATGAGAATGATAGTCAATTTAAAACTATAAAATCAAAAAATATAAATACAGATGTGACTTGTGTCTTTTTTTCAATGATATTGAACACTCATAATGCTCACTTCAGCTGGACTGCATCAAGCCCAGAAAGTAATGCAGAAGGCAACAGTCTCTCTTTTATTTGGAAACTTATTTTAGTTTAACCTTGCTCTGGAATATCTTACCATATTCTTTACTCTAGAAATTAGTATTTGGTGCTTTATGATACTGAATTCATTTGTTGGTTTGTTACAGGTTTTCTTTGCTTACTAATACCGATAAACCACAATGTATTTTGACATACTACTTTAGTAATAACCACATACCACTCTCATGGAATGGAGAATATCAGTTTGAGCAAGATAAAATCAAAATATTGATTTACATTGAAGACATACTTTATGGCACATTATACATTTAGCTTTTAACTATTCTTATAGTACCACCAGAATAAGAACAAAGCTGAAATTCAGAAATGGCTTGCATTTTTAATAGACATAAAATTTCTATGGAAAGGCAGAGATAACGTATTTGAATTAGCTAAATAGTGATATGAAGATTTACCTGTGGTTCTTCATCATGCAAATGCTGAGAACCTGACTCAGTGTTGAGAATTAGCAGATCATCATTCTTCTGCAAACTCTTTGTCTTTCATAATGCCTCTAAGAAAGAAAAAGCGTTCTGGAAAACAATAAATTGAGTAACATTACACACACAATTAGGAAATATGTAGATTATAAAGCATTTGATTTTTAACTCTTCAGAGTTAAATAACATAGAAAGCTCAAATATAGTTAGAGGTTCCCATCTTCTCTCACCACTTTTCTGTGACTTACAACTTTTATAGCATATCTCCTCTGATTGCAATGGTCTCTGCATGGGGTGGGGTTTTTCTGGGTCGGGCAGAATTATTTTAAATTTACACCTTTAGCAGCAGTTCCTATGTCTATTGTTTTCCTTTCATAAATTTATAGCCTATTATAGCTATTCAAGTCTGGCATAGATCCATATTACACATTTGTGGAGAATACAGGCAATTAAATCTAACATCTAATAAGCATGGAGGCTTATGCAACCTGCAGTCACTCAAAAATATTAAATATCTTCATGTTGCCTTGTCTTTTGATGGAGTTGTGCACTTTGTTGTTCTGTAGACCAAATGCATTCTGCATTTGCGCTAGGGGAACGCATGGATTTATCCCTCCCTTCCTACAAACTCTCTGTATGTCATTTCAATATTCTCTAGTTGAAGGACCTGTGTAACTTCCATGTCTAGTATTTGATGGCTTTTTCCACTTCTCCTTTTGTTAGGAACCAGAGTTAGGAACCCATCCTTTCCTCAGAAAAGGGATTATGTCCTCATTCAAGAGACCTCTCCTTTGCTCTTGACACCAAGAACACTGCTCTTCCTTCACTCCTTCTCTACACTCCTGGTACTGTGTGCGACTCCTGTATCCCCCACACTGACTGCACTGTTCACTGACGGGCTTTATGTACCCCTTAGTCTTACCTCTGGGGTCCTGGGTGCTTTCTCACTCATTCTCTGCCTCCCAAGATTTTCTCAAACCTTACAAGGTTTCTGTCTGTTCCATCCCATTGTCTGCTAATACCTGTTACTGTTCTGTTTGGGTGGGTACGTCATTTGGCATAACTTTAGACTTCTAATTACAGGTGCCTAAGTCATGAGTCCGGTCTCCCTGTACAATCAATGGACAGAGATAACTCAATGACCTTATTCAGAGCAAGGGGCCTAATTTGGATTTTTTTAATTACAGCCTGATGAACTTTATCTCTTTCCTGATAATTAAGAGAACAGAGACAAATCAGCCACTTATACCAGGCACCAGCTACATGCACAAACTTAGATGGCATGGATGTCCCCAGTAGTGTCCAAGTGCAGAGAAATGACATTTAAAATACAGAAATTTGACATTAAGCCACACAGATTAGCACCACAGCTTCAGGGGCATGTGTTCTACATACAGTAGTTTAATAACTGGATTTATACTGAATAATTTCAAGCTGTTACAGCCCTTCAGAAAAGTTCTGTCTAGCTTCTGTAATACATAAAGTGACATAAGGCCACAGATGCTGTGGAAATTGGCCTTGCAGTTGATATGTTAATTCAGCAAGAAATCAGTTCTTGCAGAAACCTAGTGAAAATGATTTTAAATATTTTAATATAGTGTCATGCTACTTGGTTGACTTTCAGGAAAGAGATTATTTAGTGTCAAGCTACTTGGTTGACTTTCGGGAAAGAGATTATTAAAAAATTCAAGGAAGTTCTAAGTCTCTGGACAAAGTACCTTTATGAAAACATAAGGTCATTTTTATCACACAGTTCATTAGCTTCCTTACTAAAAGCAAAAAAAAAAAAAAAAGAATTGAATATGATGGTCACAAAATAACATTTTTACCTACCCAAGAAGATGAGAAATAAGATATTTTTATAAACTGAGTTCAATATAACACTAGACTTCACACAGTCTCTTGAATGTCACTCATCCCAGTTTTACTTACCTGTGACTGCCGCTACAATTTTCTTGATGAAAACTTCCATCCGAATAGTTCCAGTGGTATTAATAAGGCTGCACTAATGTACCTGATGGGAATGTGGAACAGAATTACGTTGATGGTGTGCAAGAAGGAGAATCTAGCTTGTCCTTTCTAGAATACATTCAGTATGAATAAAGAGTAGCAAATGCCTTGTATTTTCAGAAATAAACAAATAATCAAGTTAAATTGAAAATAAATTGAAGTCAATCTCTCATGATATTCACAAAGAATTTAGAACTCCTTTAGTTTTTCCATACAATGCACTTATACTATGGAATTACTGAGCACAGAAAGTAAAATAAACTGTACTTCTTGTATAAAAATACTAAAGGACAACAGTTTTACTAGCATAACATCTTTTTGTGATTCAGAAAATATTTCCTTATTGAAGAATAAACAAAACAACTGATTTGCTAAGAAGCAATTCTAAAAAATGTGTATTGTCAAAATTGTATTGTCATTGCCATTTTTAAAAAAGTCTTATTTTAATTTTATGAGATATTAAAGGAAAAAAAAAAACATTTTACACCATGTTGTTTTATAAAACAGGTAAAACATTGCTGTTCCCAAAGGAAAGGCAGCACTTCCAACAATAGTAGTGCCTGCTGCTAGAATGGAGGATAAATGGTTCAAAATAGCTACATAAAGTTTAAAAGTTAAATGTGAAAATATTATTGTATATAAAGCATCCTCTGTGTTCAGACTCTCCTGTTTCAGATGGTATATTTCAGATGGTCAGGAAGGCAAACAAGTATGACATCTTATCACTTTACATCATTACTGGAAGTAATTTCTTTATAAAGAATGCTGCTTTCTGCTCAAACTGTCTTTGGTTAATTCCAAAGTTCTTTTGGCCCAACTGTCCCTGTGTATGTTTAGCTATGTTACACAAAGATGGCTTTCCAGTGTTTTATAAACATAGACTTTATACCTAACAATATACTCAATTGCATGACAAGACATTTTGATAAGCTAAATATATATTTAAAATATATATCTTGAGGTATATTCTGATCTTCCCCAATAATCTGTTTCAGGGTAACATTATTAGGGAATGGACTACGTCTGAAGTTGCTTCAGCTATTTAGCCCCATTCCTCTAATCCACTTCAATCTTCATTTTCAGCTGGTAACTTCCGTAACGCTGAACATTATTATAAAAAATGATTATTTAACAAAAAGTTTACTCTGAATTTTGACTCTGAATTGCGACACTGAATTTTCCTGTCCATAGAAGTTTCTTTCTTGGTTCAATACATATAAAGCAGATTGTTTTCAGCCAACAGAGTCTTCAGAGACCATGCCAATACCTTAGCTCTCCACTTCATCCCTCTTCCTCTAAGATTATGAAACAGTGCGTGGGAGCAATGTTCTTTTATCTCCTTTACCAAAGATATATGACTCTAGGAACAAGGAAGAACGTAGGTTGTGGAATCCATGTGAGTAACATGTTCTGAAGAACTACTTGCCCACAACTCCTGGGTGAGATTGGCAAACTCCCTTGCAGATGAATTTGCTTCCCTGACTGCCCATTCCCAAAATGAGTCTTGTAGCTGTGGGAATTTCCAGACTTGTCTTCTGTTGCAGAAAACCGTACTGGTGTCAGCAATACTGCTTTTTCATCCATTATCCCCCACAGGGAAGTAAAAGCACATCAGATCTGTCAGATTCATAAGGTCAGTTTAAATGTTAGGCTAACTGAAAATGAAGAGTTTTATTCTAGCACATCAAAGTGTCAAAATCTTCATTACAAATTTGAAAAATGTTGCATAAGAGAAAAGTAAATGAATAAAACATAATTCTAGATTATACCAGATTCCTCTGTATATGCTTCAGTGGCTAAATTAATATGGGCTACCAGAAAATTGGTACTGCCAAAAATTGCTTACTGTGAGGAGTTCTTTGAAGCTACATCTTCTTTTTGCCATTTTGAAAATGGAACTTCATTTTCTCTTTCCCTCAGTTTCTCTTTTGAACATTACTCTGTTTCTTCTTGTTCTTTTTTTCCAGAAGTGTAGCTGCAATAGCATAGAGTTCTGTACCAAACATGGCTCTGACGACCCCACTGTTCCACTTCCTGTTCTCCAGGACTGGATCCTGAAATACATAATGCAAATGTAGCGGACACGTCCCCTACTCTGGTATATCTCTGAATTTACATTCCAGGTATGTTCCTAAAATAGCACATTCTTTCTAGTTTAAACGTCTTCTAAGACTCCTACAACACATTGTAATTTTTGTATCATGAAAGATACTAATTTTTTCTCATCTTGGGAATATTATGTTTTTTATTACGTTATTCGCTTTTCATAGGGTCCACATACAGTATACTAATATAAAAACTACCTCAGCTATGAATGCTTTTTCTAAATTCTCCTCCATTCTACTTGTGCCAGGAGATCCTGGGTCGTCGCCTTCTTTCCCCTACAGATAGCCGCCCACAGAGATACCATTCTCGGTAATTATCAAGTAGTTGTTTCCTTGCTGAAAATGGGTACTAGCAATTGTATTTAAATGATCAAACAGGATTGTATGGAGTTCTGTAGTTCAATATTTTAAAAAGACCAGTTATACCAGGACAATTCCATTCCAGCATTCCACTGGCTGGAATTCCAGGAATTTTAGTAGATCTAGTTTATATTAAAGTTTCTCCTATTTATGTACAGATATGTATAGTTTCTTTTTTTTTTTTTTTGAAATATGTATTTTTTATTCCTTTTAGTACCTATGACTTCTCCAGAATGTTTCCCATGATATTGATCTTTTCTTCAGGTCTGCTGCAATTTCTGTTTTTCACTACAGAATACATAATTACTGTAACTGGTCTAGTAATGGCATGTGACCTCAAAACACCCATTTTTATGCCTGCACTGTTCATATTTTATATGCTATACCCCTTCAGATTCAATTTTCTTTGCAGTCTAGTTGAGGTTGGTTAAACTCATCTGCTCCACAGAAGTTCACACTTCCCTCCTTACTAATAAACTCCAGTGGTTTATTCGTATTATCTCTGCACCTTAGCTTTGCAGATGTGTGGCACTTCTGAGTTGTAAGCTCCTTTCTGCTCATTTAATTTTGGCATCACTGACTGCTGAATGGGCCATGGTCACCACCTATGGAGGCCGGTGATGTTTCCAAACCTCTGAAGTGGGTAAGGACAAGTCCACATCACACCTGCCTGAACTAGTGGCTGTGAAAGGGAACACAGCCTTTTAACTGCGAGCTGGGGAGTCAGTATCATCTTCTACCTCGCAGGTTTCCAAGTGAAAACCTCATTTTTTCCTCTTGATGCTGAGAGGAAAAGGACCTGTGGTCCCCCTCCAGCTTCTGCATGCTGCAAGGGGACGAGGTGCCCATGGGGAAATGGGGAAGGAGCCCATCCTCGTCAAACACTGGGCCTCTCTCTTCTCACCTAGGAGCACAGGCTAGTTATGGAAACAAGGAACAAGGAGCTAAAATACCCAGCTGCTCCTCACGCCCCCTCCTCAGCATCAGGGGAAAACCAACACCACTCCTTACTCTGAAACGGTGAGGGGCAGCCCCTGCCATGAGCACCACCCATCACCGCCAGCGACGAAACTACCCCCATGCGGATGCAACGTGGGATCCGGACTAAATCAGCTTCCGGCCTTCCCTCGCGAGGGGTGCCGGGACGGTCTGCAGCCAGTCTTCGGCCACCACGCCACACCACCCTCACCACCCAGGACAGCACCCAGCCTCTGGAGATGGCTGCAGGCTGGTACCCCACCGACTCCTGCCCTCCTGGGCCTCACGGACCCCGGCCCCACAGGGCAGACGGCGGGGCTCGCTGCGTAGTCAGGGCATCACTCGACGCCCACCATGACTGTGAGGGTCACATTTCACTGTGAGGGTGACAGATCATTGGAACAGGTTGCCCAGAGAGGTAGTGGAGTCTCCTTCCCTGGAGATATTCAAAACCCATCTGGATGTGATCCTGGGCAATATGCTCTAGGTGACCCT